ACACACACACACACACACACACACACACACACACAACCTACAGTCTGGCACAGTCATGACTTTTTTGAGTGTATAGCGAATACGACAACACACAAGCCTGGGTAGCACATCTCCCTGCCTCCCAGGGCCAGGGGAACAGCCGCTACTGCCAGCAACGACCAAAAGGGCATACCTAAGAGATGTACGGTACTGGTAGGGGCCTATGGAAAATTCTTGAGCCTGTACTGAATGGCTATCCGGTAGGAGCAAACTGGAAATTTGGCGCGGGTACCGGTAGGGGCATATTGAAAATGTCTCAAGCCCAAACGATGCCAGTTTTTTTTTGGAAACTTGAATGACTGTCAGAGGGGCAAATCAGGGTAAGTCGGTCGTCAGAGGGGTAAATCACAAATAAACGCTAACTTCAGGGGCATTTCGAAAAATTTCCCAAAAAAAAATCATCATTGGTTTTCTTTTTTGTTTTTTTTTTTAAATTTCCATTTTCGTCTTTGATTTTTTGCTCTTCCAGTAGATGTCACAAAAATTTATTAAAAATCGTTGGCATGTAGAGATTGTTTTTATGTACATGCCCATATGTTGTTTTTTGTTTTTGGCCTATTTTTAGGCCCCGAAAAAAATTCTCGGGGTTTCATGCCCGCACTCGGCCGCGGGCGGGATCCCGACCGCGCGCAGTAAAATGGCCCGCGTTCGCGACCGCGGGTGATACATAGGTTGGAGACTTACCTGTTGGGCCGTGTTGGACGGTGCATTGCTCATCCTATCGATCAAAAACTCTTTCTCTCTCTCTCTCTCTGTCTCTCTCTCTAATTATCTATCTCGTCTCTCTCTCTTTCTCTCTCTAATTATCTATCTACTCTCTCTCTCTCTCTCTCTCTCTCTCTCTCTCTCTCTCTCTCTCTCTCTCTCTCTCTCTCTCTCTCTCAAACCAAAATTTGCAGAAGTAGATGCTATTAAAAATGCAGCATAAGTAAATATATAACCTACAGAGAAATGAGATAAACCAACTAATCTTGCCTGTACAATTGAAAGAGCTACAGGTTTGTCTCTCCAGCGAATTAAATTTGCTAAAGGAGTACGTTCATGTGCCCAAGCTAGCGTTTCGATTAAATCTTGCCAATAAGCACGCCATGAAATAAGGAACATAAAACCTGTTGCCCATATAAGATCACCAAATAAGAACATCCAAGCCCATTCTCTCTCTCTCTCTCTCTCTCTCTCT